AGGTTATACTGTACCATTGTTCTTGGGAAAGACAGCTTCAGTGGAATCCACAAAATGCTTGAACATTTATTTTATAGAAAAACAAGGATTCACCATAACTTTTCAGAGAGAAACTGGTTTGTTTAAATAAGCCATTGTTTCTCAACATTTTATTTTATTAGACTCTTTTAAACACCTTGACTTGTGGGCGCAACAGTTATCTAGCATTTATACTATTGTATAAAAATAAAATAAAACGTCTTTCATTTTAGGGTAAAAACATGCCAAAACAGTCAGGAAATAATTGTGTTGTAGCTCAGGGCATTGGTTGGTGATCATGTATTTGCCTTTAGTCCAAAGACAATAAGCTATTCAATCAATATTTGAGCCCTTTTGAGTTATCTGTGCATCCCTGTATGAAAGGTTAAAAAAAACTTTGAACAAACCCTGTATTTCATTTGTCAGTATAGAAAAGCTTGACATTAAACAGAAAACATATACAGGAGTAAAGAGTTTTTATTGTGATTTACAAAGGCATGCACTGAAAAATGTAAAATAAAAAACCAAGGTTGAGGAAAATATTTTATTCAATAAATATAATCGACTGTTTCTTGCTGTCATGACTAAGGACTTGTAGCTATTTCTGTTTTGTTATTTACTTAAAAGAAATTAAAACTGGTATTGGTTACAGGGGATTAAATAAAATCTGACCTAATTATTTAACTTTTGATACTGAAAGCAAAGGGGAGAAAAAGAATAATAATCATAATTTTTGTCTGTTTATATTGGGGGAGGGGGTTACATTTCTAAAAAATTGCAGCTAGTGTTACAAATATGCCATTTAAGAAGTTGTACTAAACGTAATGACACATTTAAGTAAAAAAATAAAAATTAGTTTAAAATGACGTGATGCATGTTTTTTATTAGAAAATCTTATGACAAAATTAACGCATAACCTGAACAAGAAAAACAAATGTCTAATGAAAGTATGTTAAATTTGACAAAAACAAAATAAAACATGTATAAATGCTTACATGGCTGTGTGTGTAATTTCTCCACCTAGATTAACAGAATGTGTTTGTACAGAGCCCGCAAGGGGACATGGAGATTTTTTTTTCTTTTGCATTCCCACACAATACCATTGCATTACCTTGCAATACCTTTGCAGTACCTTGCAATATTTTTGCGTTACCTCGCAAAACATTTTGGGTTATCTCACAAATGTTTGCATTCCCTCATAATATTGTTTTGTGTTCCCACGCAAAATTTCATTTTGAATGGTTCGAATTTGTTACGAATGAGTTCACTAATTGTGTTAATTAAGTGTGCAGGTGCTGTCAATGATTGGATGGAAGACTGGAGACGACTGATTGGTGGCCTGCCGGAGCCGATAAAGGACACTGACGTGGACTTCCTGTCATCCATCCTCAGCTCATCCCAATCGGCCACATTGTTTCTGTGTTCCTAAGCACATTATGTAAACAGCCCAGACCCAAGGAGTTAGGAGTGAGCTGCTGTTTATTTTGGTACCTGTTTTTCTCCTGTTTATTTTAGTTAGGGAGGTAAGTTTTTTTCATTTGGTTTATTTCTTTTTAAATAGGTAAGTTTTGATTAAATTAGGTAGATCCCATTTTGTTTGTTATTTTCAGCATTAGCTCACTCTGAAGTTAATCAACTCCTAATGTTGTAAAAATCATTTATCACAAACACCATGTAAATAAATTCCATTCTTTATTCCTACAATTGTGTGCTGGCTGCTTGAGATCTGATGAGGATGGATC